ATAGCTTCCGGGTTACAAGCAAAATTTGTAAAATTTGATAAAGCATTATATCGAGCGCATTTGAGCATTTTTTAATGGAATGCTAATTTCTCATTAATAAATAATTAATTGTTCGTCGTTGTAAGACGGAAAAAAGATTAGTTTGGTTAATATATTTGCCGGATATCAGTCTGAGACACCCTGTATATCGCGCGGCTTTAATTGTTCTCGCTGAGAAGGCGGCCGCGACGTATTTACCCACAGTTCGTTTCGTCCTCGATTTCTTTTCGACGAGACGACAATGCGGCCCGTTAACCCCGCGACCGTCCAATGCCGTAATATTATCGAAGGAGCCAATGTACAATCATATTGTGGACGGCACAATATTACATTCTGGGCCACGCTCTTCCCTCTTGACCCATGATAATCGACGCATTGTTGCTACTTATATGGGCGTTAACGTTCCTTTCGTTGAAGACGATTCGTTGATCGTGGCGATACGCGAAGCGAGCGAGAAAGAGAGACACGCGGAAAAATATACGTAATCTCGATACAGCATCTTTTAGCTCGAGAACGCGAACGAAGCAATTTTAATGCGGAGAAAATTTTATCAAGTTTGATGAATAAGAGCCTAAGAAATTGACAAATCAATTATTATTGCGCAGCGGAAAACTTTAGAATCAATTGTATTTTGTATATCGAAGCCCGAAGATTTCTTGAGATGTATTTTTTCAAACCTTGTTAAATTAAATCACATTAATTTTTATCACATATATTTATTAATGGCCTGCATCGTGTTACATAAGAAAACTGACGGACGCAATTATGTGATGACTCCCCGGCCTATCTACAACATCTTGGTCCCGCATATTCTCGCTCATTCGGAGAAGGGCTCCTCGTCGGCTCTCTTTCTCACTCACTTTCTGCCTCTCGGTTCACGTTAGAAGATGCTTATTAAATTGTGTCATCCACGAATAAGGGCTAACGCGCTGCATCCAATTTGTGCCGCTTAATTAATTCCCTCCAATTTATTCCCCGAGACCGGCCAATAAAGAAACCGGGACCCGCGCCGCTCGCCGGTCAACGAGCGCCGCCGATGCCACCGCAATATTGTCCCTAATGAAATCTTCGTTAATCGCGAGAAAGAGAGAGAGAGAGAGAGAGACTGTTCGCCGTGAGTTTTCCGGCATATGCGACGTCAATTGCACAGCAACTCCACGAATTTCTCGCGCGATCGTTCGGTTGTCGTTGCACGCGATGCACAATGATGCACGATGTTGCATTGATATAGTCATTTGTCGTTTTGCTTTTCAAGAAGAAAAAAACGGGCAATTGTACGGAAAAATATAGTTGGCGCTATTTTCGTGGAAACTGAAATCTATTCGTTCTTGCTACATTGTTCCATTTTCTATATTACTTTGTTATAAAATATAACTGAAACTGCGAAGTGTTATTTCTATATGATTTGATTGTTACAAAATAATAAATTAAAAATTTAAACTTTTTTTGTCATTACCAACTATATATGAATATTTTATATCATTAATTATGTGCATTAGTATATTGTTGCAAAAGATTTTTCTTGATTCACGAGCAAAGTATCACTACTTTCTGATAAAGTGTTAAAAAAACATATTTATTTTGTAACAAAATGTTTGTAATTCTATACATCCAAGCATTCTCTGTTTTGCGTGCGGATCGAAGGTATATTTGTCGCATCGCATTTGCGTGGAAATAGAAGCGCGAAGCGAGAGGAAGAGGAATGAGCGCGATGGAAAGCTAATTACAGAATTATCGCTTTTAATTGCGATTCCTGCTATTTGCGCAATGGCGTGGCGGTGCAAGCGCGCGATTGTCGTCGCGTGCCGAATTATTGGATGTTGACGTCACCGGCCGTCACCGCAGCAGCCGCCGTTGCCGCCGCCGCCGCCGTCGATCCCCGATGCGGCATCGCTTTGCTCGTAATTGCCGGCACCAATTATGCAATTAGCGCCGCGCTCTAATGAGCGCGCAGTGTTATACGCGCGGAATCTAAACACCCGGCCACCCGACACCCGCTGCCACACATTGTTCGCACGCCGCTTGCTAAAGTGTGTCTTTATTCGTCTCTCTAAACATGTTACGCCTCTATCCGGTTTAACTTTCATTAACGCATTATGCGTGTTTCTCGAACGATATCATCTTGCAAGATTATCCCTGGAGCAATGTACATTTAATGCTTCATATTCACCATAAAAACAGCGAAAACATTTTACGTCCAAGTTGCTTAATAGAGTTTACAGTGAATCCTACTCAAATCTCAGAGCGCTATTTTTCTTGCATCTTCAGAACTTTTTTCTAACAGAATTTTTAATTCATGTAAAGTCGTTATGTGTGACTCTTTAGATCTTCCAGAATTTTTTAATTTTCAATATTAAAAATTTCAATAATTAATTTTTAATATAAAATTTTGTCACAACACAACTTAGAGAGAAGAAATTTGCTAAGGAAATACTGTTACTATTTTGTAATTGATGACTCTTCATCTCTAGCATTGTTGCAATTTCTTTGTATATCTATTGGCTTCGGTAAACGTGGGTGGCGTGTAACGAGCGTGTAACAAATCCGACGGCGTGTGCCAACGTGTAAACACACTCCGCAACACTCGAAGCCACAATCCCTTCGCCCTCGCGGTGGGACGCCGCCGTCGGAGTGATCGCACAATAAAACACTGGCATAATATTTCGCCCGGCTGGTTGAACACCACAAATACACTCTAGGACCACATGCCGGCCTTATTTTGCGGAGGGTGAGAGAGATGCGTATGCTAGGGCGCGAGGGATCGACGAGTAGCCCCCGCGAGGTCCCTTTGCATGCCGCGGGGACACCCGCGGGCCCCACGTCCCCCTTCGCGGATTAGCCGCGCTACATTTCGTCCCTTCTGTCGGTGCGTATGTCCCGTCATTATGCGCCTAACTCTCTACAAACGCAAAACCAATGGCACCCACAGCGGATGGATTTATTCGGGGTCGGAGGATGGATGGATCGCGACTTGTGTTCCTTCAATTTGCACAACGCGATAAATCGGCTTCTTGTTTTCGCAATTAATTGCCCGATATTTGGTAAAATGTGAGATATGAGTTTATAATTTCTATTTTTTCATTAATGCTTTGCTATTTTTAGAATGGAAGATATTTGGAGTTTAGCGAGAAAATATAAATTATGTTATTAATATGATTAGAAATACGATATGATAGTGATACATTCTTTGGCACTTTTATTGTATTTTAATATTTTAATAAGTAAATCAAAATAATTTAAGTCAGACGAATAAATAATAAAATATATGAAAACTGCAATAGCAAATTGAACGCCGTATAATTTGATCGATTTTGATAACGATATCTCGAAAATATTTGTGTTGATTGCGAAGTCTACCAGCATAATAGCTACAACATTTAGTATCGCATTAAAAGTATATTCCGCAAAAGTTCATTTAAGCGTGTTACGCAGAAAAGAGGCTGACTACAGCGACGCGTCGTTTTCGCCGGAGGTCAGACAGCTGAAACGAGAATTGCTCGAATTTTGTTAAGTTTGGCAGCAATTACTTTTGATACCCGACACGCGGACGTAATTACGTTGGGCCAAGCAGAACGACGGGAGAGGGGTAATAATTCGCTAATATCAATTTCAAATTTCAATTAGTATCATCTCGACGTCCGCCTCTGCGTTTCTCTCCCTCTCTCTCTCTCTCTATTCGCGGACCCCACAGGAACACGCCATGATCTAAAATTCAATTTGTCCCTTCGTACCGGAGAGCCGCAAAGAGAGGAGGAGAGACATAGTGCAGCAGCGGCGGATAGAGGAAGAAGCAAGAGGCGAAGGGGAGACGCCGTGATGGAGCGAGCGAGATAAACAGCCACACAGAGATAAGGGAGACGACGAGATCGGGGGCGGACGACGGAGATGCAGGAGGGGGTGTGACGGTTCGAGTATAGTTAGTGTACACCGGTTCTCTAAAGCCACTCGCGTGCACGCCGTTATATAACGAGAGAGAAACGGCGGGCCCCGTAGGCACGAGCATGCGCGACATGCCGGCCCATTATAAATTGATAACTCCGCCGTTTATTAAGTTCCACAACCGATGCCTGCTTAGGCAAAGAGCCCTCTACGCGCCGCGCTGCGCCGCTCGTTCACTC